AAATCTCTAAAATACTTTTTTCTATGGGCTTTCCAGAAGTTAGAAGGTCGGACATATCAACTCATGGACATGGCGCAAGCCTTGTATGTTCAATGGAGGGATAATAGGCCATTGAGGGGTTAACTTGGGAGATCTTTAAGACGACTCTTCTAGATCGGTTCTTCCATAGGGAGATGAAGGAAGAATAAGTGCTCGAGTTCATCAACCTTCACCAAGGATAAAGGATTGTCCATGAGTACTTTTTTGAATTCATTGAGTTGTCCAGATATGCTCATTCTTTGGTCTCGATCCTAGAGACCAAATGAGCCATTTTATGACAGGAGTGTTGGAGGACTTACATGAGGAGTGCCATTCATCCATGCTACATGAAAATATGAACATTTCCCCTCATATGGTGCATGAAAGAAGGGTAGAGGAGGCAAGGGCAAAGCGAAAGAGTAGAGATGCTAAATAGCAAAATCATTTGATGGAGGTTCTTCAAAGAATAGGCTTTACATACAAGACAAACCTAAATTTAAGAAGAGGATTTCTAATCTAGTCCATTCCAAGTTTCTCAAACCTAGTGGTTATAGGGTGTCTAACCTTAAATTAAAAAAGGGAAAAGGTACTATTTAAAAACCAAAGAAACCAACTTGTAGACTATGTGGGAAGAAGCACTATGGTGACTGCCTTAACGGGACGAATAATCTCTTTAGTCGTGGAAAGAGTGGTAACAAGATGAGAGATTGTCTAAACTTGAAAACTCAAGACAAGGGTAGTGGTCAAGCTTAAGCAAGTGGTTCTAGTAATGCTCTAATGAAGAACTGCTTCTATGCTCTCCAATCGAGGGGTGAGCAAGAGACTTCTCCCGACATGGTGACCGGCATGTTGAAAGTCTTTTATTAATGTATATGACTTACTTGATCCCGGTGCTACTTTATCCTTTGTTACTCCTCTAGTAGAATTTTTTTTTCTATTTTACCCGATATTTTGCATGAACCTTTTATAGAGTCCACTTTGATGGGTGAGTCGGTTGTTGCAAAAAGGGTGTATAGAAATTGTCAAATAATGATGCCCAATAAAGTTTGTTATGTTAATCTAGTAGATCTCGATATGCTTTATTTTGATGTTATGTTGGGTATGGATTAGTCGCATGAATGTTTTGCCTCCATTGATTGTAGGTTAATGGTGGTGAGGTTTAGCTTCCCAAATGAACCTGTTTTAGAGTGGAAGGGGCGAAATTCTATTCCTAGAGGTTGTATTATCTCTTGTATAAAAGCACATAAGATTATCTCAAAAGGTTGTCTATACCATATTGTAAGAATCCAAGATTTAGACTGCGAAATTCCTCCCATTAAGTCGGTCCCCGTAGTGAGTGAACTTCTGGAGGTTTTTCGAAATGACCTTCTCGGTATTCCTCCCGAAGGGGAAATCAAATTTGGTATTGATTTGCTACCATATACAAATCCCATTTCAATTCCTCCTTATCGGATGGCTCCTACCAAGTTGAAGGAGTTGAAACTTAAACTCAAGGATTTACTAGATAAGGGTTTTATAAGGCCTAGTATTTCTGTGATGGGTCATTGAGAATGTGTATTGACTACCGCCAACTCAACAAGGTCACTATGAAGAGTAAGTACCCTCTCCCTTGGATTGACGACTTGTTTGATCAACTCCAAGGGGAAAGTTAATTTTTAAAAATTAACTTGAGATTGGGGTATCACCAACATAGGGTGAGAGGCGAGGATGTATAAAAGATTGACTTTTGGGGTATCCTTAAGTTGATGCTTCTAGTCGGGCTCGAACCCAAGTGACACCCCATTTGTGAAACTGGGTCACTACGGGTAGCCCCAACCCGAATTGCTATTTTAAATTTAATTAATTAATTAATTAATTAACTCCTCATGGTAATTACAATCGTACCCTTGGCCTGGAAAAGAACATTTCACCCCTGGACCCTCAAAACATAAAATTTCCTCTTTTAAGTCCGCAAAAACTCTTTTGATTAAATCTTCATTTTCGAGAGTCTTGCATGGTTGGTTCCAACCTTTCAAAGATCAACTAACTCCCCAAGTCAGTTGTCTTGGTCGTATTAAGGGTTATGTGGTTTGGTTCTACGCATATAAATCGGTTTGAACCTTGGTTTATTCGAAAGAATTCTTGACACCTTAAGTATTTATCCTATTAATTTTTAGGGTTGTTAAATTATCCCCCCTTAGGAACATTCGCCCCCAAATGACACTACCACTTCATATCTTAATACCAGTCAGATCATAATAAAATTACTATACACAATCAAGTAATAGAAACAAAATATGGAGAGATAAGGAACATAGGCTTAAGAGTAGGAAGTCTAACCTCAAGAGCTGAAAAGATTAGGGTAGCGGTATCTCATATCGGCCTCAGCCTCCCACGTAGCACCATCAACAAGATGATTTCTCCACACTACCTTCACTATGGCAATCTCTTTGTTCCTCAACCGCTTGACCTGTCTTCTTAAGATCTCAACAGGTACCTCTTCATAAGAAAAGTCTTTACAAACCCCTAAACCGTCAACAAGTAGGATTAGTACTGGATCACCTAGGCACTTCTTCAATATAAAGACATGAAAGACTGGATGAACAAAAGTTAGCTCCGCGGCAATGCTAACTCACAGGGCACCTCACCCACACGTTGTAGGATCTCATATGGACCAACATACCTCACACTCAACTTTTCATTTCTACCAAATCTCATCACCCCTTTCATAAGTAATATCTTCAAGTAAACCTGGTCACCAACATTAAACTCTAAGGGCCATTTTCTATTATCCACATATGTCTTCTACCGACTGTATGCAGTACCAAACATGTACCTAATCACTCTGACCTTCTCTAAGGCCTCATGAATAATCTTGGGACCTAAAATAGATGACTCTCCAAGCTCGAACCACCAAACATGAGATCTACACTTTCTACCATACAGTGCCTCACACATTGCCATCCCAATGCTAGAGTGTTAGCTATTATTATACAAGAACTCTATCAAAGGCAATGGTCCCATCCCAATACTTAAGTGATAGCTATTATTATACAAGAACTCTATAAAAGGCAGATGGTCATCCCCGTTACCTCAGAATTCAATCACACACACTCTCAACAAGTCCTCCAATGTCTGAATGGTGCATTCTGCCTGCCCATCTGTATGAGGATGAAAAGCAGTGCTAAGCTTTACCTGCGTGCCCCAGCCTTTTCGGAAAGATCTCCATAAATGTGAAGTAAACTCAGCTCCTCTATCTAAAAGGATGGACAAAGGAATCCCATGCTATCTCATCAATGTAGAGTCTCCCATAATCCTCGGCTCTTTAAGTAGACTTCACAGAGATAAAGTGGGCAGACTTAGTCAATCTGTCCACAATAACCCATATGGAATCATGTTGTCTCCTAGTCCTCGAAAGACTTACAACAAATTCAATATTAATTGCCTTACAACTTCCAAGTCAGAACATCAATAATTTGAGTAAAGACCACCAAGCTTAAGATGCTCTGCTTTACGCTACTAACAATTAGGACAAACGGCCACATATTCTCGATGTCCTTCTTTATACCATCCCACCAATAAATATGCTTAAGATCATGATATATCTTTGTGAAACCTTGATGTATGGAATATATGGAAACATGGGGCTCCACAATAATCCTTGTCCGCAAATCATCCACATCTGGTATACACAACCGGTCTTGATACCTGAGTATGCCATAACCTCCCAAAGCGAAATACTCATTCATCTTCATTAGTACTGAGTCCTTTAGCTCCACCAACACAGGATCTAAATCAGACCCTACTTGACTTCAACTACCAATAATGATTCACAACTAGGAAGAACTGAAACATCCGCACTAGTAGAGTCAACAAATTGCGGACCCAGACTGGCCAGTCTGTGTACATCTTTCAACAATTCTTTCTTCTCATCCTCAACGTGGGTTGTACATCTCATGCTCATCCTGCTCAAAGCATCAGCTACAACATTAGCCTTACCTTGATGGTAGTGCACATTAATGTCATAATCTTCAACATCTCCAACCATCTCCGCTAACGTAGATTCAACTTCCTCTATGTGAACACGTACTGGAGGCTCTTATGGTCTATGAACACATCCACATGCACTCCATACAGATAATGCTTCCACAGCTTCAGTGCAAACACCACAGTGTCAACTCTAGGTCATGAGTGGGATAATTCTTCTCATGAACCTTGAGCTGTTTGGAAGCATAGGTTATCACCTTACAAGCCTGCAAAAGAACACAACCCAAACCAACCCTAGATGCATCACAATAAACCATGTAATTCTCACCACACTTCGGCAGAGTAAGCATCAAGGGTGAAGTGAGTCTGTCCTTGAGCTCCTGGAAACTCTTCTCACAAGTATCCATCCATTCAAACTTGGCTACTCTTCTCACAAGTCTCCATCCATTCAAACTTGGCTTTGTTCTTAATCAGAGTTGTCAATGGGGCTGCAATAGAAGAAAAGCCCTCCACAAACCTGCGGTAGTAACTAGGCAATCCTAAAAAGCTACGAATGTTAGTTGGAGTAAGACGCTTTGTCTAGTTCTTCACACCCTCCCTGGGGTCAACCTCTAGACCCTGATCAGACACAACATTACCCAGGAAGGTCACTAATCTAAGCCAAAATTTACCCTTGTTGAAATTGGCATACAACTAGAGTTGTCTAAGTACATGCAAGGTTAGTCTAAAATGTTGTTCATGATCTTCCTTGATCTTAGAGTAGATGAAAATGTCATCAATGAATACTATGACGAAAGAGTCAAGGTATTCACGGAAGACCCTCTTCATGAGATCCATAAATACAACAGGTGAATTTGTGAGACCAAAAGAGATGACTAGAAACTCGTAGTGACCAAAGAGGATACGAAAGGCTGTCTTTGGAATGCCTCCATCCCTAACCCTAAGGCGATGGTGCCCTGAACGAAGATCAATTTTTGAAAAGAAACTAGACCATTGGAGTTGGTCAAACAAGACATCTATCCTGTGAAGTGGATATTGTTATCGATACTGACTTTGTTGAGCTTCCGATAATCGATACACATTTTAAGGGTCACATCTTTAATCTTTACAAGCAACACTGGAGTTCTCCAAGGGGATATGTTTGGCCGAATGAAACCCTTATCAGTGAGATCTTTCAACTTTAGCTTCAACACTTTGAGTTCTGCTATAGCAATCTATAAGGATAAATTGAGATTGGTTAGTATCAGGTTCTAAGTCGATCTTTCGAAGGGGAGGGACTCCAGGAAAATCTTCAGAAAACACATCTAGAAACTCATTTACTACAGGCATTGAGTCTATGGAAGGAATATCATGATATAAATCCTTAACATTACCAAGATGAAATAATAACCCCTTGGACATCATGATTTGAAATCAGGGGATTAGGACGACTAGAATTGTACACTTCCTAGACTAACTCTTCTTCATTAGGGAAGCAAAATCTCACCACCTACAACTATTGGGCAATCATTTTGAATCCAAACCATGCAAAGAATAACATCAAAATCATGCATAGGTAACTCAACCATGTTTTCACACATACTCTTACAACTTACAACTATTGGGAAATCCTTGTATACCCTATCAGTTCTTACATTTTCTCCTAAAGGCGTACTAACCAATATAGGATCATGTAGAACTTCAAGTAGTACTTCAAAAGTAAGGGCAAGCAGAGGAGTCATAGAGGAAAGTGTAGACCGTGGATCAACTAAATCATAAATAGAAGTTTAGAATACTTGCAGCATACCTGTGACCACATCAACGGACATCTCCTGCACCTCCCTACCTTTCAGGACATAGAAGTTGTTCCTCTTGGGAGGCTCGACTGCTGCTGCACCCTATGGGTTAGGCCTAGACTATGTATTACCTCAAGCCTGATCTCTATTTTGTGAAAGATATCTTACCATGTGTCCACTCTTACCACTACCGAAGTAGGCATTAGTGTCCTGTCTGCACTCTCCACATTGAGTTTGGCCACACTTAGTACAATTCTTATTAGGACACTACATCTCACCTCCATTGCACTTCTTGGGCTCAAGTCTGCCTCCTCTAGATGTAGCACCCTCTAAGGATTGGAATTCTCAGAACTCTATTGCCCCATTTTGAACCTTGACTATTCACGGATGCCAAAGTGGTTTCTGTGGCCTCCATGGCTTGAACCTACCCTATCTTGAGGCCTAGGCCTCTTAAAATCACAAAAACCTCTCTTTCTGCACCTCTCATCTACCTGGTGGACATGCACCATCAACCTGGAAAGATCCATATTATCATGGAGCATTGTAGATCGACACTCCTCCTCCAGGTCCCCATTTAATCATGTGAGGAACCTTCTTATCTCATCCCTGCTGTTAGAAACCAAGGAAGTAGCACACCTTGATGATTTTAACAAATCTCTGTATTGTCCCCATTATTGCTATTGAATACTAGGGAAAGTAACATTCCTTGATAGCTTAACAAACTTTAGGGAATACTCCCAGACTATCATATATCCTTGTTTAAGGTTGATGAACTCCTCTACCTTGGCTTCCCTCATCTCTCTAGAGAAGAATCTCACTAGAAATATTGTTTTGAACAGCTCCCAAGTTACTGGTACTCCACTTAAGACACGGCTATCTTGCGACATCTTTCACCAAGTCTGTGCAACATACTTAAGCTGATAGGAAGCCAACTCAGCCTTCTTAATATCAGTGGCCCCAATATCCACAACGATCTTATGCACCTCTTCTAAAACCTCTTGTGGATCCTCTGATGTCTTAGCCCCTGTAAATATAGGAGGATTCATCCTCGTAAAATCTCGCGGTCCGTCAGCCATGCTGCGAACCAGTGGATTTTCCCTCTAAACATCCTGCCGGTTGACTTGGCAGTCATAGCCTAAGCTTGCGTCGTGATAGCTTGTGCCATCTGGGCTAGAGATGCCCTCACATCAACATCAGTAAACCCAGCAGGGTTAATTGGAATGGCCACTCCTTCAGCTTGAGCCCGAAGTGGAACTTGATTGTCCCCAGCAGCTGCTCCTCCTCTCCTCTAACCAATAGCTCTCCTATTTTTAATTCCTTGAAAACAACAAGGATTGATGTTAGACACACTCATAACACCAAAAACTCAGACAGTAGGAATAGCATCATAAGATTAGAAGAAGGGAAATTTCCTACACATCATGCAGTATCTAATCAAGGATAGTGGTGCGCTTCACTACCATGACTTAAAAACCACTCAATGTGGCTGATGTGAACTTATTATTCTTGAAATTTAACCTAGTGCTCTAATACCAACTTTGTCACTACAGGAATCTAGATCCAGATGAAACCAGCGTCATTAACCTCTCAGAGGTCACAGACAAGCCTACTTTCTTTATTCATACTTCACTGAGGTTAATTTTAGAAATAAATTTGAAACTTTTTGTTGTTTAACATACTTTCTAAACATTCTTAACATTTCATTCATCATCAACCGTCTAACATTAAGAGATAAGAAAGTGAAAGAACAAGTTCTATAAGTATTAAGTGTATAATTGCTAAAATGGCACCAATGCAAAGTCTAAATAAAAACACGAAGGAAACGCTAGTGGAATATGCTCCACTAGCTCAACTCTAAAGCTAAATGAGAATGTATAACAGTAGCATTCTCGAAAGCATGAGGACCTACCAGGACCGGATGAATGTTGAAGGTCCGGATATCTGCAACAACGATCCTGTACCTCTATCATCCACCTGTGCCTGCACCTTAAATAGTAGAGTCGTATAGGGTTAGTACACACTTGTACTAAGTATGGGTATATGCAAACACACACCAAGCACATGCATGAGAAAGAAAATCTCTTACCTAACAACATGATTATGGGAAGTCAAGTGAGTGGACTTTCCAAATTTGGATAATGTTAGTCATTGAAATTTCTAAATTTGGATTAGGAAAGTCCATGAGCTTCCCATATTTGGATTAGGAAAGTCATGCCATGTGAGTGACATGCATCATCATAAATATCATATTGCATACAACACATAACATATAACACATAACTTCTTTCATATCATTCATTCATATGTCATGAGACCTTGGAATCATGGACTTGACATTAAGACTTTCAAAAATGAGGGATCAACATATGAGACCTCAATTATGGAATCTTCGTTAGGAAACATAGAGTTTGTTTCATTCATTCATACGTACTTCATTTCGTTTCATTCATATGCTAGAATGGACACCAGTTATACCTAGGATGTAGTTTAAGAATTTCATTGGGTTTGATGGGCAGTGATCAAGAATAACCTAATGTCATTACCTGAGTCTAGATCACCTATTGATTATCCTATCCTAACACATTTTGGTATCATTCATTTCATTATGTGCTTCATTTGAGGGTGGCCTCATTCATTCATTGGGAACATTAACTTTAACCGACATAGATAATGTGAGCATCATCAAATCCAGTGTATCCCCCACACCAAGAAGTGGTGGAATCACCAGCAAAAGTAACCCAATAACATGTTAGCGTACATGGAAATTTAACCCCGCCAGATCCCTATATTGGCAGTATAAGTCTGATGATTAGGAAATGTAAGTACACACATACCCGGCAAAACGGACATTCTTATCTCATGAGAGTTATGTGAACCTCCGCCCTTCCCAAAGAAGGCATCACCGCTTATAGCTAGTCTATCGGTGCTTAGTATCAAGTTCCATTACATTCATCTCATACGTCATGGAAGCTGGCTTCGAGTATGAGGACATCATAGCTCATTAGATGATTTCTCATCTCATCATTCGCATTGAGTGTGTTAAGCTCAAAAGTCTTTTTAGAATGTTCATAGAGACTGGTCTCTTCAATATCTCACACTCTCATAGGTGAGTACGTATTGGTAACATTTACTTAGGCTCAGTTAGGATTTCTATCATCATTTACAATATCCTCGTATCATGTTGTCACCATATTCTTCATCATTAGCACCTTTCATTTTCATATTTACTCACCTTTTATCAAGTGAATGTTCATTTTATTATATGCCAATACACTTGGTCATTTGGTGTGTTTCACACCCTTACTTAACCCTTCTAGGGTTTCATTATTTCATTGTTCATTTCATCATTTCAGTTCATCTCATCATATGCCAATGCACTTGGTGTATCTTACACTCATACTAAACCCTCCTAGGGTTCATTATTTCATTACATACATATTAGGTTCACTTACTTTTGAACATATGTTAGACTTATGTGTCTATACATACACGCCATGGGGCTTCATTGATAGTTCGTTAAGTGATTCTTACTTTCATAAGATTATGTAGTACAAGACTTATGTATCATGTATATATGCCAAGATCTTGATTTATATCTAAGTAAGTGGCATTATTGTCAGATATTTTTTTCACGTTTGACTTATGTATCAATACGGAGCTTTAGGCAAGGGAACCCAAGTTCGAATCTCTTGCATAACATTAACATTTTCATTGATTTTGTTTTTAATCTCCATCACATTGGGACTATAGATTGAACCCCAACATTAATAAAATATCTCTAATTCTCTACTTGATTTTCTTCTTAATTTGGCCGAAGAGTTGTGGGTTCGAATTCCCACAATCCCTATATATTTTTCATTAAAATCACTTTGCCCATTTGGTCCCAACCAAGAGGTTGTGGGATCAAACCCCCATAGCTTCTTTGATTTTATCATTTAATTCGCTAGAATAAGGAGGTTGTGGGTTCGAAACCCCACAGCCACCTTATTTTAATTTAATTTCTCTAGGGTCTTGGGAGGTTGTGGGTTTGAATCCCACTCCTCCCATTAATTTGATTAATTATTTTTTTCCTCCTGATTTTCAAGTTCGCTAGTTCGAATCCCCTAGCCCCCTTTGTTTTTTTCTTTTCTTTTCTCGCGAATGCACAGTAGAAAGGTTTGATTTCCCTTGGCCCCATTTCCTTTTTAACTTCTCGTGAAACCAGTTGCCAGGTTCGATTCCACTTAACCCCATTTTTATTCCTTTTTTTGGCGAAACCAGTTGCTAAAGGGTGACGTCACAGGTTCAAATCCTGGTGGCCTAACCTCTTTAAAATATATTAAATTCCAGATTTCATGGTTAAGCTTTAACCTAAAATAATATTGCATAGTTGGTTGAAATTTTTGTCACTCTTCAACTCATTTTCATCAACATTTTTACATGTTTCAAATGGTGTATTCATAAATCGTTTTGATACATTTTTAGGCGCATCTTTCATAAGTTTATTTGGATAAATGATTTTTATTCAATAAACCATATTTCATTACAATGAAAATCACATTTTATACCCGTTTGACACATAAAATACACATAACAAACTTGTTAATTCATATGTCTAAAACTAAGCTCATTCACTATCAAAGTTCACTGCCAACGTGCACCCACACACATAATTTTTTTTATCATACATTGCTTATCATTTTCATGATTTAATGTTCATAAACATATTCACATTCATTACAAAAACAATACATGCCTCAATATACTAGCACAAAATACCCAATCTACGAAGTCATTTGGGATATAGTGACAAGGACATGCAACGGGGGAACAACCTTAGTTTCTGAGTTAATATATTGAATTGTAAGAAGCCTCTTGGGGAAAGGGACCAAGAGATAAGAAACCCATACCTTTTGACGTTTAACCCACACACTACCTTCTGTCAAAAACCCTCTCCAACCATGTCCAACACCAAAACTTTCACCAATTCTCGACGGAACTCCCCTACCTTTTGCCTAACATATTTGGTGAACTTGCTTTCCTAGAAATTTCGTGTTTGTTCGTCAAGTGTAAAGAAATTTTGTTGTTAAGCAGTTCTAGAGTTTTCTTTTGTTAGGGAGAGCGTGAGAGAATGAGAGTTGAGAGACGTGAAAGAGAGTTGAGTGACGTGAAAGTGATTTATTAGGACTAAGGGTGTAGGGTTGAATTTGGTCAAAGTAAGGTTTAATTTAATTAATAAAATCTGATTTATTTATCTTAGATGAAATGACCATTATTCCCTTACAAAATTAAGATTTTTAATCAACAATTAAATCCTTAATTTGATGCTTCTAGTGGGGCTCGAACTAGACTAACACCCCATTTGCAAAAATGGTTCACTTCGGGTCGCCCCAACCCGAATTGCTCTTTGAAATTAAATTAATTAATAAATTTATTAATTCCTCAGGGTAATCACATTATTACCCTTGGCCTGGAAATAACGATTTTACCCCTGGACCCATAAAACATTAAATTTCCTCTTTTAAGTAAGGTAAAGACTCTTTCGATTAAAGCTTCATTTTCAAGAGCCTCACATGGTTGGTTCCAACCTTTCAAAGCTCAACTAACACCCCAAGTTAGTTTGATTAGTTGTAGTAAGGGTTCTGAGGTCTGTTTTAATCCGTATCCATTCATGTGAACCTTGGTCTAATCGCAAGAATTCTTGACACCTTAAGGATTTATCCTATTCATTTTTAGTGCTGTTTCAATCAAGCTTGGTCATTTGTTTGTATTGCTCTTATCAATTGCTACTGTTATACATATTGTTAGAGTGTTCTACTCATCAAGGAAAGTTTCTACTTTTGAACATGCATTAATAAATTTTATTATGTGTTATATCTTATGCATTTATATTGTTTTACGTATGGATTGGTGTTGGATTTTAAGCTAAATGTGGATAAAACTTCCATATGTCTCCATGATATACATATTTTAATTATTAAATGGGAAAATATGAATTGCGTGTAGTGTTGATTGGTTCTTTGATAATGTTGTAGTTGATGTAATATGAGACTTGAGTTGTGCTGAA